GTCTGTCTATTGTCTGAGTGAAGGGAGATAAAGTCACACACACACACACACACACACACACACACACACACACACACGCTCATGCATTAGCTCTAAAAACTGCACACACAGTCATGGTGTGAGGAGTTGTGTTTCACGTTCAATTTTTTTTCATCCAGGTCCAATGGCACAAATATGACACCGAGTTAATTACCTGGTGGAGATGTAGCAAACACTCCTGACACATTCAGAGGAAGGGACAACATTAACTGCTGCTGACTCTGGGATAAGGAAGAGGAAAAAGTGGACACATGTTGGCTGTTTTTGTTGTTGTTTTTGGTTTTTTATAATTATCCTCAAAAAAATGAGGATGACTAAATGACTAAGGGAATCCACTGACGGGGCTCAGCACAAAGGTCCATCTTAGGAAGCAAGTGGATAAACTTCCAGACTTGAAGGTAAAATATATGTTTATAGAGCCATGGCAACAATGTAGGTCTACTTTTCAAATTTACTAAATGACAATATTAAGAATTGCAATTTAATAAAACTTAAAGTCGATGCACTATGAACACTAAAAAGTACTGGAGCAGGTGATCTGCCAAACTAATGCACTAACCAAGCAAACTATTGTAGGAAAAATCATTTACTAAGCAATTAAAGTCTCATGAAGTCCAAAAAACTAACAGACCCTAAAGTTGAAGTTTTTATTGGGAATTTTTAAGGAAAGAGAAAATTATATACGTTTGTAAATTTATCTTAAATACTTTGTGTTGAATGACTAGTGATATCTCGTTATTATCTTAGTTGATTACCTAAAGTGAGCTTATACATAAAACACTATAAACAGAGGATCTGATCAGCAACTATGATTTTTATTAACCTAAGATTGTTTTAAACTATATGAAAAATTTGAAATTAAAAATGGATTGCAAAAGTTACTACAAATCTGACTTTGAACCCTTTTCAGTTTATTAATCATTCCTGAATGATTAATTATTCAAATACAAGAACTTTGATTTGATGCTCACTGGGATCAATTGATGATTTGTTTTGTGTGTGTTAGGATACTTTTTATAAAGTGTTGCATAAATGAAAAAGGGTCATTTTAGTCGATTACTAGGTGGTTGCTAGGCAACGTAATGACACGTTGATATCGGAAAAATATAAAAACATTCATTGACCTAAGATGTATTTTTGTGCCAGATAGGGTTGGAGTTCACAATCAGTGAAACAAATAAACACACAGCAAGACATAGATTTCATTCACTATAATAAAATTAGTTATTCCTCGTAGTGAATTTGGTTTTCAGTATAACAAAAAATAGACTCAGATCAAGCTCATCCAAAATAACAACCATCTGTTTAAAGAGTCAAAGTACTGCACAACAACAAAACAAACATGTAGCTCCTGCAGATAAATTCATAGAAATGTTACTAAAAGTACTCAGTCTATTGCTGAGAGAAGGCAACATCACCGAAATCGGCATCTAATCCAAAAGCATCAAGGAAAAGACATTCATCAATTCCTGCAGCTTGATGTCGTAAAAATGTGTGTTTATAGATTTTCCTTCTCATTTGGTACGTCTGTGAAAAGATTGTATGAGAAAAAAAGCCATAAAATAGATTTCACCAAAAAGTGATAACACTGACCTCCTGGCACACTCTCTCTGGCACTGAATCATTCTGCTACACAAACAGTTAAAGATCAACTATGCTCATACTGCTGACTCCTGCCTGAGTTCATATCGCTGATGACGAAAACAGTGCCGTTACTTTACTGCTGTCCTCACCCTGTGGCCCCAAAATACACACTGACCCCACAGAACACCCCCAGCTACCTCTGCCATGAGCTACATACCCCTTTAGATTCAGTTCAATTAGTTCAGTGTTACGTAGCCTGCATATTAATACTTACACAGTAGTTACTGTGTGCTTACTCAGTACTTGGATGTTATACTTGCATCATCAGGACTTTCAACAAAAACTTAAAACATGCTCCATTAGGTGGTTTTATGTACATTTTAAATTAATACACTTTGTGAATTTCAATGAACTTTTTATCAATAAGTTAAACGATGACAGTGTTTGCAATTTTACTTTGACATTTTGGTTAAGTAGGAATTATATGAACTGTGGGGTTCACCTTAATGGGACTGCACAGAAAAGTCTCTAGGCAGGTTGCAGCCGGTCAGTGTGATGTGACACTGTTTGTAATGTTTAGTTGGGCGAAACAAATAGTAATATTAAGTGAAGTAGTGTGAAAGATCTCAACTGTCATTGAAACAGCAAAGTCATTGGCATCTATCAGTCTGGAAGGTATTACAAAGCCATTTCTAAGGCTTTGAGTCTCCGGTGAACCACGGTGAGAGCCATCATCCAAAAAGGAAGAAAACTTGGAACAGTGTGAACCTTCCCAGGAGGGGCCGGCCTGCCAAAATTAACAGAAGAGGGCATTAACAACTCATCCAGCTCACAAAAGAACCCAGAACAGCATCTAAAGAACTGCTTGTCTCACATTTACCAAAAAACATTTTGATCATCAATTCAATAAAATTTTGTTTATAAAGCACCAAATCACAGCATCAGTTGCCTCAAGGTACTTTATATTGTAAAAATCCTACAATAATACAAAGGAAACAGAGTAAACCCCAACAACCATATGATTCTCCAGTGAGCATGCTGCGAGCGTATCACCACACTACTTTAGCAGTGCATAGCTCCAGTTTCTTACAGTATGTTCTCTGACCCTCTCTCCCCTTTCTCATCTGCTTTCCACCTTCCTTTAAGGCCTCTGAGGCCCAACCAGGATGCCAGAACGAGTGTATGACTTCCAGGGCCAGAGTTTTCACAAGCTGCGGCGGGCCTGCCTCCGTCGAGGAGCGCTCTTCAAGGATCCTCTATTCCCCGCCACAGACCAGTCCCTCTTTTACAAGAGACAGCCTCCACCGGGTCTGACCTGGAAGAGGCCGAGGGTGAGTTAGACGTGGAGTGTAAAATTGAAATTCTTTTGTTTTTTAACTTGAAATACATCTCCACTCCTCCCACATCTAAACCGAGTTGCTGCCTCCACATGTTGCATTTCAGGAGATTGGGTTAATTAAAGCACTTTCTCTTAAAGGACAGGCGTCATGTCAGCTGGTGAAACCTTAGCCCTCAGGGAGCAAGTTGATGACGGACCGCTGTGTTAGTGGGATTGTGGGTGTGTACAGTTGAGTATAGAAAAAGCACAAGCCAATGTAAATAGCATGGGTGTTTTTAGCACACTGTTGTGATGGGTACAGCTGTCTAAGTATAGGTTTTTAATGTGGCCACAGAGAGCTAAGGGTGTGGTAATACACTTGAATTAAATCAGTGAAATGTTAAGGTGAATCGAGGTTGAAGGGATTGTTGTTTAGTGTGGATATTTATCAGACATTTGATGGTCCAGTAACTTTATGATTACAGAGTTTTATACCCGTCTGATGTGTCTTAATTTTCAGGACACTGATCCTCACTGTGCTCTGCTGAGGAAAATCGGTTTAATCCAAACAGTGAAACATGTGAAAGGATCAGAAAGCCCCGGGTATTTCCCATCGGGGTCATTAGTTCAAGGAGTTCATTCAAAGCCAGGCCTTTAGTGCTCTTAATGTGAAACCCTGCTGACGATTAATTTGTTGACTCAGAGCTGGAGAGAAAGGGTTAAAGGTATTGCGGTCCTAATGCACTACTCAGGTATTTTAAGCGTGTATCAACACAGATGATAGGGTGTCACCTGTCGCTTCACCCTGCTGGCACACAAACACAAACACACCCTAACTTCCCATTTGCTATCAAAACTATCCAGTTCATAATTTCAGTGGTCTTATCTGAAGCTTGTTACGAACATGATAGCGTTGTAAAGAAGGTTTATTTCTTGTCTAGTGTTACAACTGAAGAAGTTATGGCCACCCAGAGTGTATCTTTCTGCGTGTGTGTGAGTGCAGCGACACTTCTACAGTTACCTGACCCTGTCCAAAGTGAGAGCAGAAGGTCTACACACACATTATCTGTCTCCTCAGCAGTGCTTTGACACCCTGACTGAATCAGCCCGCAGGCCCCATAAAACTTTGTGACGATACGAGCTGCTGAAGTCATTAATGGCAGTGCTTGCTCCACTTAACTGTGTCGTTTAAAGCTGCTTCATGAAACAACCTGCTTTTAGAGATGAACTCACCAATAATAATGAACGCCGACCTTCCTTTAAGCTCTAGATTTAGGTTCAAGCCTCCTGCTATCATCACAGGATCTCAGATCCCAGGTGGACACAGATGCCATTCACCCCATTAGCTGTCACGTAGTGATGAACAATCCCTGTATTTCCCTAGAAATGTGCAGGTAGGAGCTCATTGACTCCTTGATGCACAAATAAGAAATGAACCTGCTGTTGCTGATAAGGTGGAAAAACTATGGTCCAAACTTAGGATGTGAAAGTGACAACCAGAAACTGTGGTCACTTGAAGTTAGCTTCAAGCGGGAAGAAAAACTCCCTTTTAACAGGAAGAAATCTCAAGCAGAACCGGGCTCAGGGAGGGTTGGCTGTCTGCTGTGACTGGTTGGAGTGAGAGGAGGAAGACAGGGCAAAGGCACACTGTGGATATACAGTCTATTGCTAAAGTGTTACTGTTATCCTGCAGTCTGCCAGGTGATGACTAACTACGTCCCATATTTCTTGTCATAAGCCTGATCTCTCTTCCTCTCCAGGAGATTTGTAAGGACCCCCGTCTGTTTGTCGATGGCATCAGCACTCGTGATTTGCACCAAGGAAGTCTGGGTAACTGCTGGATGGTGGCAGCCATTTCCTGCCTGGCGTCTGAGCCATCACTGTGGAAAAAGGTTTGGTGTGTTTTTCCCCTCATCTTCTTCACAATCATCTTTCCTCTTTCTCCTTATTCTTTACTATCGTCCCTACTCTGCATTCTCTGCATTTCCTCCTAGTTCCTTCCTTGTCTTTCTTCACCCTTCCTCATCCACCTCTCTCCTCTTCCTAGGTCATCCCCGATCATTTGAATCAGGAGTGGAATCCAAAGCGTCCCGACTTGTATGCAGGAATTTTCCATTTCAGGTTCTGGCGTCTCGGTCGCTGGATGGATGTTGTTGTAGATGATCGCCTGCCTGTCAGCGAGGATGGAGTGCTGCTCTTCTGTCGTTCGGCAACACCACGAGAGTTCTGGAGCGCCCTGCTGGAAAAGGCCTACGCCAAGTGAGCATCAGCAGAAAATGCTGGTTTTGATATTAGATTAGATTAGATAAAACTTTATTAATCCCTCGGGTGGGTTCCTCTGGGAAATTCAGTAGCATTGATGGGACTGCTGTTAATTTTACACTGCTGAACCTATGTCTTGACTGCCACAACCACTACTTATGGCAATCCTAATGTGTAATGTTCGTGAATCAATCACTCAATCCCTCTCTCAACTTTTAGACTTAACGGCTGCTACGAGGCCTTGGAGGGAGGGAACACTGCAGAGGCCCTGATCGACTTCACTGGTGGAGTTTCAGAGCCGCTCAGTCTGGATCGTGAGGCTCTAAGACTTCACAGTGACCAGAGGAGGGCGCTCTTCCAGACTTTAACCAAGGTCCATGAATGTAAATCACTCATCACTTGCTCCATACGGGTAGGGCTTCTGAGTCTTGAACATTTAGAAAAACTGGAGAAGAAATGGGTTAAAATGATTTCACTGTTAAACGTTTCTCAGCCTGCAGAGGGAGAGACCGTGGAGTCAGTGCTGGAGTGTGGGCTCGTGCGAGGACACGCCTATGGGATCACGGCAGTGAGGAAGGTGAGGTTGGGGGAGAAGGTACTGAAGAGAGGCGGAACATCCAGACTCTTTATGGTCCGCATGAGGAACCCGTGGGGGACCACAGATTGGACCGGTGCCTGGAGTCAGAGGTGAGAGGTGACTTTGAAGTCTTTGCACTGGCTTCTGCCACATGTCAGACTGCTGAGAGCATCTTGTAGGAGCTCTGGGGGGAAAAGTCTTTGCTGACTTTAACAGTGTCGCTGTGGTTTGCAGCATTTTATAATGCCACTGCTGATATTCTGGAGAGATTCTGACATCTTACAATAGTTTGGGATTTGTTTTACTGGGGTGGAGGGACATCTGCTGTTCACATCATGGAAGTCTGAGAACTGGATCACTAAAGGTTTCTAGAAGCTGAAACACTGCTTTTATTTTTAT